GAAATCAAGATTGCCAGAAGAAATACCAACCTCAGATATGCAGATAATACCACTCTAATGGCAGAAAGTGAAGAGGAACTAAAAAGCCTCTTGATGAGGGTGAAAAGAGGAGAATGAAAAAGCTGGCTTAAAACTGAACATCCAAAAAATTAAGATCATGGCATCTGGTCCCATCCCTTCATGGCAAATATAAAGGGAGTTCTTGGGCTCCAAAATCACTGCACATGGTGACTGCAGTCATGAAATTAAAAGATGCTTGATCCTTGGAAGGAAAGCCATGACAAACCTAGACAGCATATTAAAAAGCAGAGACATTACTTTGCCAACAAAGCTCTGTATAGTCAAAGCTATGGTTTTCCCAGTAGTCATGTATGGGTGTGAGACTTGAAACATTAAGGAAAGCTGAGTGGCCAAGAATTGATGCTTTTGAATTGTGGTGTCAGAGGAGACTCTTGACAGTCCCTTGGACTGCAAGGAGATTAAGCCAGTCAATCCTAAAGGAAATAAGTCCTGAATATTCATTGGGAGGACTGATGCTGAAGCTGAAGCTCCAATAGTTTGGCCACACGATGCGAAGAGCCAACTCACTGAAAAAGACCCTGTTGCTGTGAAGACTGAAGGGAAAAGAAGAGGGTGGCAGAAGATGAGATGGTCAGGTAGCATTACCAACTTAATGGTAATGAATTTGAGCAAACTCCGAAAGACAGTGAAAGATAGGGAAGCCTGGCATGCTGTAGCCCAGGGGGCGGCAGAGTTGGACATGAATTAGCGACCGAACAACCAGATTGTCATAGCTTTCCTTCCAAGGAGCAAGCGTCTTTTAACTTCATGGCTGCAGGCACTGACTGCAGTGATTATGGAGCCCAAGAAAATAAAATCTGCCATTGTTTTCACTTTTTCCCCATCTACTTGCCATGAAGGGATGGGACCAGATGCCATGATCTTAAGTCTTTTGAATACTGAGTTTTAAGCCAGCTTTTTCACTCTCCTCTTACACCATCATTAAGAGGCTTTTTTAGTTCCTCTTCACTTTTGGTCATTGGAGCGGTACCATCTGCACATCTGAGGTTGATATTTCTCCTGGCAGTCTTGATTTCAGCTTGTGAATTATCCACATTTCACACAGTGTACTCTGCATATAAGTTAAATAAGTAGGGTGACAATAATATAGCCTCGGTGTACTTCTTTCCCGATTTTGAACCAGTCCATTCCATGTCCAGTTCTGACAGTTGCTTCTTGACCTGCATACAGGTTTCTCAGGAGGCAGGTCAGGTGGCCTGGTGTTCCCATCTCGTCAAGAGTTTTCCTGGATGGTGAAGGACAGGGAGGCCTGGTGGGCTATAGGCCATGGTCGCAAAGAGTCAGACATGACTGAGCGACTGAACTGACACAAAGGCTTTTGTGTAGTCAATGATGAAATTTTTTTTTTTTTAATTCCCTTGCTTTTTCTATGATCCAACTGATGTTGGCAATTTGATCTCTGGTTCCTCTGCCTTTGCTAAATCCAGCTTGTATATCTGGAATTTCTCAATTCATGTACTGTTGAAGCCTGGCTTGAAGAATTTTGAGTATTACTTTACTAACATGTGAAATGAGTGCAATTGTATGGTAGTTTGAATATTCTTTGGCAATGCCTTTCTTTGGAACTGGAGTGAAAACCTTTTCCAGTCCCACGGCCAGTCTTAAAGGGGAGATTAATTTAGGAATTGAAGATTTAAATACCACCCCCCGCCCTCCCAAGTATACCCCTTCGTTAGTTATTTAGTTCAGTCGCTCAGTCATGTCCGACCCTTTGCGACCCCATGAATCGCAGCACGCCAGGCCTCCCTGTCCATCACCAACTCCCGGAGTTTACTCAAACTCATGTCCATCAAGTCGGTGATGCCATCCAGCCATCTCATCCTCTGTCGCCCCCTTCTCCTCCTGCCCTCAATCCCTCCCAGCATCAGAGTCTTTTCCAATGAGTCAACTCTTCGCATGAGGTGGCCAAAATATTGGAGTTTCAGCTTCAGCATCAGTCCTTCCAATGAACACCCAGGACTGATCTCCTTTAGGATGGACTGGTTGGATCTCCTTGCAGTCCAAGGGACTCTCAAGTCTTCTTCAACACCATAGCTCAAAAGCATCAATTTTTTGGTGCTCAGCTTTCCTCACAGTCCAACTCTCACATCCATACCTGACCACTGGAAAAACCATAGCCTTGACCAGACGGACCTTTGTTGGCAAAGTAATGTCTCTGCTTTTTAATATGCTATCTAGGTTGGTCATAACTTTCCGTATGTACAAATGAGTCTAGGATTCATCAGAGACTAGCCTGGCACTTTCTCCTCAGCCCTGATGGCTAAGACTGCAGCTCTAGAGGTAATGGGAGTGGTCCCTGGGCTGGGTTCCAGGGCAGGACTCAGCCTGCAAGTCCTAGCCAGATGGCTGCCATCCATTTGGTGGGGCGTGGGGTGGTGGTGGTGTCTTGTTGCCTGGAGTCCTGACACCACCTTACAAAGATGGACAGCAACAGTGACGACCACCCTCTGGTAACAGAAAGAGGCTGACCATCTACCCCTGGCTCTGCTGAAGAAGTACAAGTCGCTCAGTCTTATCTGACTCTTTGTGACCCCATGGACTACACAGTCCATGGAATTCTCTGGGCCAGAAGTCATTAAAGTATTGATATACTTGCCACTATCTCCTCGCCCATCTTGGGATTCAATTCCCTCCTAACTAGGTCTGTTCTAAGCTTTCCATTTAGATGGTGATTCTGGGTGGCGCAGAGAGATGAACTGAAAGACAACAGTCCCCTAATTATTGGGCCAGTCTTTCCTTTGGTCTGATTTCTCTAATTGGAAAATACCTGTTATTCCTAGAATTTTTCTGAACATTGGTTCTAAACAGAGTGCTGGCACTAACACTTTTAAACCCACCCCTTGTTCATCTTTGGGCACAGTAAGCCCTTAATAAACATGAAACATGTTTCATGGACAACCAAGACTATGCACCCTTGTCCTGTCCTTGTACACGTGTGCACACCTAAGATCTTGTATCATCGACCTTACCAGCTTCCCCTGGAAGCCACTCTGGCTCATTCAGTTCAGTAGCTGTCGTGTCTGACTCTCTGTGACCCTATGCAAGCCAGGTTCCCCTGTCCATCAACTCTCGGGAGTTTACTCAAACTAATGTCCACTGAGCTGGTGGTGCCATCTATCTCGTCCTCTGTCGTCCCCTTCTCCTCCTGCCTTCTGGCTCATTACTTGTCTTTATTTGCTTATCAGGACCACTATGGCTCCTGCACACTGGAGACCCTTCCTTCTCTCTGCCTTTCCCAGCCTGGCATGGAATTCCAGGACACAGGCTTACTGTGCCTGCCCTCCCCCCTTCCTTTCCAACCAGTATTCTTGTCAGAACCCAGTATGAAAGTCAGTGACCTTCCATTTTTGTTTTTAACTCTGGCTTTTTACTCAGCAGCAGTCAATGTATTGAACAGAGGTTTGGTATAGGTTTAGATCTACACTGGTGTTGGCCCCCAGAATTTCCTGCAGTGACGGAACTGCATTTATCTGCCATCCAGCGTGGCAGCCACTAGGCACATGTGGTCCTGGAGCACTCGAAACACACCAAGATGACTGGGGAAGAAAACCTTAATTTTAGTGACCTTAAACATAAACAGCGATGTGGCTACAGCTATTGCAGGTCTGAATCTTTTACGATATATCTTACCTTTTTTTGATCTATATTAGAAATTATCTACAGCTCTCTGGGCAGTATTCTATTTTCTTGTTATCTTGACTCTTCTTTTTTCTTTTACTTCTCTGGTCTGTCAATTTGCTTAACATTTTCAGTATGAAATATTCTGTCCTGCATTTCCTTAACTAAAGGAATTTCACAGAGACTTACATGTCCAGATTACCCACTCCCCAGTGGTTTTCTTGGGTCTCAGAATACTCATGAAAACAGGTTTGTTTTTGGTTCAGAATTAGTGGCAGTGACATCAAGAAACCACCCTCATCCTTTGCAACCATCAGCCTTCCTGTTACCCTCTCATTTCTCAGGGATACCCATGCCAGCTTTAAATTCCTTGTCCTAACACTTCAATGTTGCTCGATGCCCATGTTAACACTTTCACCCAGCTTACAAAATGCCCTGGCACATACTTCCTCATAGTACCCACTGGCTGGGCAAAGTAGTCTGAGGTTGTCATGCAGTCTTTCCACATGTTCTTTCCTCCTAAAAATTACCTCCTTCATACTTGTTGGACCACATCATTCAACATAGGCGGTTTTTGAAGTGTGGTCCTTAGTCATGTTAGGAATACAAATTCTCAGGCCCAATCCCAGGACCTACTGAGCCAGAAGTTCTGAGCAATCTCTAACCTAGAAGAACAATCTGAAATGAAGGAACCCGATTGCCTTGGACTGGATTCTACAGAATCCAACCCTGAGACAAGACCTTGTGAGGCGGCTCCAAGCAGCACCTGCATGGGGCGAGGAAGATCCATTTATGCCGACATCACCTTCATGTAGTGTTTGGTCGTTTAAATTATTCAGGACACATGTTCAGGCATTAAACCATTAGCCTGCTAAGATCTAGCAGGTAATGTCTGTTGTCTTCATTTGCTGTCAAGCACCAAAACTCGTGCCTTACACACACACCACAGCAAAATCTCTGGACTTTGATGCAACAGAATAGAAAGGTAGTTATGTTTTATATTTCAGGTCAATAAGTATGCCTCAAGTCAAACAGTACAATATTGCAGGTGAACCTGGACATAAACACAAGTCTGTAACTTGTGTCATCTAGTTTTATTATTTCACGAGAAGGAGGCAGGGATGAAGGCAGGCTGAACACTTCCTGGCTGGTGATCACTGGCAAGTTACTGGCCTCTGGTCGGAATTTCTATCAGATGGCCTCCTCAGTCCGTCAAGGACACAATCAAGAAGGTGGTTGCGACTTGAATGCAGGCGTGAGCTATTATACATAATTACAGGAGAGGGGATGCCTCAGCCTCCTCAGTAGGAGCGGATGGCTGGGGGAACAGTGGCGCAGTCAGTCTCGTTCAAAGTTCTGTCAATTACAGGTCTGTATTCCAGGGAGACCTTAAAAAAAGAAGAGCCAGTGATGAGCAGAGAAATGTACACACAACACTCTTGTGCTTTTGAAAAATCGTAAAAGCAGGTGTGAGGACACATTCAGGAACTTAAAAACAAAGGTATTTACTGGAATATTCTTCAGTAACGAACTTGAGATTATGTAAGTTCACATATGGAATACAACAATTAAAATAACACTGTATCAAATTCTCAATGCTTCAAATTCAAACTTAAACTGAAAACGCTCAAAAAGCAGGTAAAACTTTGTATACACTGTCATCATTTAATTATGTGTAAATCATGTATTTGCAGTTTTTCCTACTTTTAAGTGGAAGTTTATATGCACACGATACTTGAGGTAACTATTTCAAAATGGTAAGCAGGAGGTGGCCCTCTGAACCATCTGCCCCTGCTGGGTTCCTTTCCAGGCAGAAGCCTGACTGACAGTGTGTTTTCAGCGATGTCTCTCATCTGTCAGCAGTCAACTGAAATCCACGCTGTTCCTCACAGTTCAGCGAATGCTGACCTGCGTCACCTGAGGGCCAGGCCATGTGCCCGTGTGGACAGGTGGAACCTGTTCCCCACTCACCTTCCCAGTCTTGATGTCAACGTAGGAGAGCGTGTGCTTCCTCCAGTGCTGTTCAAATGGCTTCTTCTGCTGCCCCTGGATGGGCTTGGAGTAATCGTACTCATCAACCCTCTCCTAAGCCCACAGAAAGTAAGTTTATTTCAGAAAATGCCATCAACAAATACCCTATACAGCCCGACAACCAGAAAGCACGGCAAACTCGTCATTCCCACTGAAACTAAGTGTGCAGACCTGACCCAGAAGAGCACACGGCAAGAACTCGCACCACACGCAGATAAAACGAACAAGATCTGGGATCCCTTGGCCAGTGGCCAGTCCTCTAGACACATCCGTGGGCCTTTACCAATGAACCGCCAACCCCTCACCTTGGGCTGGCCTGGTCAAGGACCCCTACCTGCCCCTGTCCATCCCATCCCCCCACAGCGCTGATGAGGTCAGGCCCTTGAGCCACAGGGCTGGGAGCAGGCCTGCAGCACAGCACGGCTCGGAATTCCACTTCTCCATTTTCTCTCCACAACCAATGGATGGGTACTGGAATTTAACTGGTCTTTTATGCACTTGAGTTTATCAAATACCTTCCCTGTCTTTCTGCTCTGTACTCTTTCAGACTTCAACTTTCTCTTTCAGCCTTTTTAATTTAATGTTCTAATCTTAGCCATTTAAGTTTTCCAAAACTTTTAAAGAGAAGCTGAATGCTATTAAGGAATACCCTGCATGTGGTAACCGATAAGATGCACAAAACCTCTTCAAATAAAACCCCACACATCCACCCACTTGCAGCTTCTGCTGAGCAAGGCCAGACCTCTTGCCTGGGGCAATGGACACCTCCCTGACTGCTGCACCTGTACCCCAGGGAAGGGCAAGCCCCACCAACCCCAACCCACTCCAGGTGAGGGGGTTCTGCCTGTCTTCGGTGACATCTCAGCCACAGGAACCAACCAGCTTCCAGGAAAGGTTTCTGTCCCAGGCATACAGGACGAGCGTGCTCACAAATGTCCTCTTCTAAGTACCTGGCAAATCTAACGCAGCTCCAACCAGTGTCTAGTGGATCAAAATCCAGTTCTTCCTGCTCAGCCTCTAGCTGAGCCATCCAAACATGGTCCTGGACCAAAGACTGCCTGTCTGTCATGTTAAAGCGGCTCAGGTCCAGTAAATGTGCCTAATCCTAACCTGACTGCTGCCCCAAAAACCTCCTTCCAGGAAAATCTAACTACTACGTGCTAGGTGCACTTTTCTGCAGAATCTGGCAGGTGAGCTCAGTGTAAAAATCAGTTCATTCAAAGAAGAGTGGGCTGAGATGAGGCTCCACAGCTCTTTCCAGACCAGGGGCAGGCTGGTCACTGGGCCAGTCAGTGAGCAGCGCCGGCTGCACTCGCCTCCACCCCGTCCAGGCCTAGAGGCAGCAGCAGACACTGAGCGGAAGGAGGAAAGCACTGGAGCACCAAAAACACGAGGACACAGGTGTTGAGGTGATCAGGAGAGTGAGGCGCTCTCCTCACAGCTTTGTGGGAAACGCATGGAGACTGCCCTGAGGGAGTGTGGGCCGCAGGGGGCTGACGGGTCACGGGGAGCCCAGCGGGCCGCGGGAGCCCGGGGAGAAGGCACACCTTGAAGTCCTCCCTGGCGTGGGCGCCACGTGACTCCTTCCGGGCCTCGGCTCCGTAGATGGTCTGCAGAGCACAAAGCATCAGGTTCTGCAGCTCCAGGGTCTCCACCAGGTCAGTGTTCCAGACCATTCCTGGGCACACAAAGCAGCCGTCAAGACGACAGGGCCCACTGAACAAGGACTGTGCACCCTGTGACAGCGGGTGGGCGTGGCGCACTCACCCCTGTCGAATGTCTTCAGATGCTGCAGGTCTCCGTAGAGGCCACTGATCTTCTCGCAGCCTTCCTGCAGCACACTCCCCACGCGGAACACCGCAGCATGGCTCTGCATTGACTGGGACGTGAGACACCTGTAAGCTCTTAATTCACGCGGAGAAGCCACGCCAAGAACTGTTAAACCTTCAGGTTTTCTCTTGGGCATTTTTTTTTTTTAAATAAAATATTTACTTCAACAGAAAAACTAAAAAATTCAGACTGAGTTTATTACTCTGGATTTTAAAATGAAGTCTGTGAGAACTTTAAAAACCTGCTAAGCAACTCCCATGTGTACAAGAATACTAACTAGTCAGGATGCTGCTGTACACGACAGGGCTTACTGATTTTCATCCTGAAGCTTGTACCCTGGACTGTCTTTCTCCACGCTTCTGTTCCCTCCTACCTTACCATTCCACGAGGCCTCCCCGAAGCCCAGACTCGTGAAGAGAGAACCACAGTCCTCTGAGAATGGCCACATGCACCTCTTCCCTTTTGCTGGTGTCTGTGTGTATGGCCACAGGAACCATTCGGGCTTCTTTCCAGAAAACGCTCCCACACAGAAATTTCAAGTGGACAGAGCAAAGTCTCCTTCATGGAGCAAGATTCCCCATGTTAAAATAATTGGATTCCTAGCTGTTTTGTTTTTAATTGACCTAAACCTGTGTTACCTGATGGATTAGCCACCAACCACAGGTACCTACATTTTAAAGTGAAATTAAAGAGAAAGCCACGTCCCAGTGCCGGGGAGCTGCTGTTTCTGCCCTGGGCTCCCCCTTCCAGCCTTCGGTATGGAAAGCACACACTAGAATCTTACGAAGACCCAAACATGCCTCTGGGAAACAGCAACCCCACGGCAGGGCTGTCGACGAAGCTGGCCTGCTCACTCCAAAGCTTGTCCAGGTTCCTACCTTCTGCATGTTGAGTCGCAGTTCCGATGTTCTTATGTTTCCATTGGCAAATCTCAATTTGTCAAGATTCATGACAGATTCTTCCCCAGCATTTGGTTTAATCAAGGGAACTTTATCTCCTTAAAAAAAAAAAAAAACAAAAACCACCCCACCAAATGTGTTACACTGTTTTCAGGGAGTTTGGAAAATGCACACATAATATTCTACCTGAACTACCCTGTCCCCGAGGAAGCATCTATTGACTTGGGGTCAAAGAGTAAACAAAAAGACTAAATTTCTGGCAAAAAGTCTGTGTCCAGTAAGTAATCTTTGCACGAACAGAACAGAAACCATATCTTAAGATCAAAAATCAGATGTATGCAAATCAATCTTGCATTACTAATCTTCGAAGGAGAAACACCGCACCCTGCAGGAGAGCCATTCTCTCTGCCCAATCCTTCTGATTTTCAGACTTTGGGGGTGGGGGGTGGATGGGAGGGACCTGGCCGGGGGTGTCTAACAGCCTCCTGCTGATCCTGGCTCTTTACCCTCTTATGTAAACCTCAAGATTTGCTGTTCTTGCCTTTCTAAAAAGATAAACACTTTTGAGGGTTTTTAAGCTGTCTGGGGATGACAAGTGTATTTTCTGCAGAAGGTATCGCACGTAGGTGTGATGCTCAGGAGACAAAGGCCTGCAGTCACTCTCTCTCCAAGGCTGAGCGCTGGCCGAGCTCCGCCAGGCGGGAGGCTTTGCTCCCTTTTGTTTCAAATGCTTTAGAAAAGTTGTTCTGTAAACCTGAGTTTTTCTCTTAGGGGCACACGTCTACAGATTTCAGTAGCACACATAGGCTGCTGAAACGGCCATGCTTTTAGCATCCAGCCTAACCTCGCGGGGCTGCCGGTGCTGCCGGGCAGGGCTGCGTGACCCAGGCTCTTAGTGGCCACCCCACCACCTGCTGCCCCAGCCTCCCTGCTCCAGAACCCCACACACAGAATCACACACATGTGGCCTCTCGGGTCTGCACTGCACCACCTGACATAGACTCATCCGTGTTGCTACATGTGTGGGTAGTCTGTCCCTCTTATTGCTGATTTCCAGAAGTTTTAAAAGTGTAATCCTTAAACGGTGCTCTTATAAAACTTCCTTCTTCTCAGGTCAAAAGAAAGGGAACCTTGAATTTTCTCCTTTGCTCTGAGAGACTGCTATCGGGCTCCAGCTTCAGCAAAGTGGGCACTAGAGTTGTCGTCAGACTAGCACGTGGTATCTCTTCCTCAGCAAATGAGGTTACTTTATGTCCACAGGGGAAATCACAGGTAGAAACCCAGCCTCTCTGGAGGGGAGAGCCGTGACCCAGGCTTCTCTTGTTTGCATCAACTCATCCTTTTCTCCCTTAAGAGATGTAGTTGTATTTTGCTCATTTATACTTACTATTTAAAACATTTCTTTGGAGATAATTCACACCAGGCAAGTAATATCTGATAAACCCCTTCAAACTAACAATTTCCCAGGAGTGACTTCTGAGCAGAACAATTGCAAAAACACCTGACTCAAGTTACTCTTCTAACTCCACCCAGCCTGTGTCTAGTCTCGGGTCTACCACCATAAAAATCTCTGAATTTCTGTCTCTTCACTTCTCTGGGATAAAACCAGGACTACCCCCCTCCGACCCCTCCCCACTATATGACCACAAAGCAAAGCCTCTGCAAACAGCTAGGCTCCTGGAAGAAGCACGTACCAGGTCTGCAGGACTCCGCGATGCTCAGAGCGCACGCCCGGCCGAAGACCACCAGGTCCAGGAGTGAGTTTGCACCCAGACGGTTGGCGCCATGCACTGAGGCGCAGGCGGCCTCCCCGCAAGCATACAGGCCGGGCACAACCTGGTCCTGGCCATTCACGTGCCTCAGAACCTGGGGAAGGAGACCAAGATTAGCAAGCACAGTCTGCCTAGCTCCCTTTCTCCTCAGCAGGGGTAGAGAATGGAGAAGAGGTAAGACTGGACACCCCCTCCCCCACCCCCGAGACACTACCCACCCCCCTCCCCGGCCACCTGTGCTGAAGTCTAAGGACGGCAATCTGATGCCCAGGAGACCCTCCCCGCACCTGACGTGCCCCCGCAGCCCCACGCCAGCTGTGGGTGCGGCACAGGGAGGGCAGCAGGCGGGAGAGCACTCAACAGGGAGGTGGAGGGCCGGAGGCGTCAGTGCAGCCCACCTCACCGGACGAGGGGCTCAAACACTGACGAAAAGGCTCTCTGTTGTGAAGAGCTCACAAATTACTGTTGAAAGCATGCACTCATGTAGGAAAAACTGCAAACGATCTAATATAGGACTAAGGAAGAATTAATCAAATGCTAACAGCTGATTAAGGTGTGAATGCAAACACTGGAGGAGCACCAAGGCCTTCCGCCCTCTAGCAGAAGCACCCGTCACACCGCACAGCACTTCTGGGAGGGGAGCCCCTCAGCCTATCACCTGCCCAGCACCCGGAGGGGGGAGTTCCCCAGCCAATCACCCTGTCACACCAGACAGCACTTCTGGGGGGCGGGGGGGGGGGGGGGGTCGGGTCCCGCAGCCTATCACCTGCTCAGCACCCATCACACCACATAGCACTTCTGGGGGGTCCCCAGCTGATCACCTGCCCCTTGTAGTTGGTGGGGATGCCGCCCATGTTGTAGTGCACGGTGGGAAGCACAGGGATGGGTTCCTTGGTGACGTCCACGCCCGCAAAGATCATGGCCGTCTCTGAAATGCCGGGCAGGCGCATAGCCAGCTGCTCTGGGGGCAGGTGGTGCAGCTGCAGGTACACGTGGTCCTTCTCGGGGCCACAGCCTCTGGGGGAAGAGAACAGCAAGGCAACAGGTCAAGAACGACATCCAGAAAATATGAGGTCACAGCATCTTCGTGGTGCGTGAGGCAACACATGCTTTGATCCAGGAGAAAGCGCCCCCTTCACTAAGGCCACCTTTCTGGGGCATCTCTTCTCGGCAGCCAAGCACCAAAGTGGGCCCCAGGTGCTGGGATGCAGCTGTTAAGACGGCGGACACCCTACCTTCACCAGGCTCACACCTGAGTGTCGGGAGGTCACAATCTGCAGTGTTCTGCTGGGTGAATGCGCTAGTCCTCTCATGCCAAAGAACAACCTGCCTTCTTTCTCGTGCACACACGATGCCCCCAGAGGCCACAGCCCAGGCATTTAACCAGCATTGCCACGGCTGGCACGGTGTCAGGGAGATGTGACACCTCGCACTTGGCACCTGAGGTCTCACCTCAGCTGAGACCTCACACTGCTTCACAAAGAACAAATGCTACTCACCGTGAGAGCCCCCATCCACCTAGGGTTAAGCAACAGGCACTGGAAGCTCACCGTTAAATTCCCCTGGTGGCTCACCGTTAAATTCCCCTGGTGGCTCAGACAATAAAGAATCTGCCTGCCATGCGGGAGACCTGGGTTCAATCCCTGGGTTGGGACCATCTCCTGGAGGAGGGCATGGCAACCCACTCCAGTGTTCTTGCCTGGAGAATCCCCATGGACAAAGGAGACTGGCGGGATACAGTCCATGGGGTTGCAAAGAGTCTGACACAACTGAGTGACTAAGCACACAAAGCCACCACACTCTCACACACACGAACTGGTCCACAGATCTGAGAAGGAGTCACAGCTAACTGCTAAACTTCTCAAACTACAGGTCTCTGGAGACCATAAACTAGCAGACAACTGTCAGAGGCAACTGCACGTGGCCTCCAGGGTGGGCAGCAAGCTGACACACACAGGAGCCCTCCAGCCCTTGCTGAAATGCAGACACGAACCCCAGCCACCAGAGGATGGGGTGGGGGTGGGGGGGCATGACCACACAGACCTTCCCTCTCGTATTTCCAGGGTCATGGACCGGGACACGACATCCCTGGACGCCAGGTCCTTAGCGACGGGGGCATAGCGCTCCATGAACCTCTCACCCTGGCTGTTGATGAGGATGCCCCCCTCTCCACGGCAGCCTTCCGTGATGAGACAGCCAGCGCCATATATGCCTGCAAAGAACAAACCGATGAGACAGTTACAACCTAGTAATTGCTGGATCTATACTTCAGATGCAAATGCTTTTCCCAAGATACTCTGGGAGGAGCAAGGAAAGGGTGTGCAAAGAGCACAACTCCCAGGAGAGAAGATAGAGAAAGAGCCAAGGCAGGTGGCGATGCCACAGCATAGAAGTGGCACGGCCCAGCTGCACAGAAGGCCTGGCTGCAGCATCCACGCAGTTCTGCTCAATGCCCCGACTGTGACTGTGCTGCACCTTCTCAACATAGCAAAGTGTACATTTAACAGCTCAGGTTTTAACTGTTCAACACCACGGAGTTGTGTTGACTGGTGAAGGTTAGGAAGCCTGGCTGGAAAGCTGGTGTCTGCAGCAACTAGATGACGGATGAGGCTGCAGATCGTGGCAGCCCTCACGGAGGCTGCGCCCACCACGGACACTCCAAGTCTCCCCGGCTTCACAGACAAGCCCGCCAACATGATGCTGGGAAGTGCAGAGCCCAGACTCAAGTCTGGCAGCATGGAGGGGGAGCTGCAGCGTATCTCGATCGTCCCTTGACTTCCCTCAAGGTGATGAGGACAAGGACGCCTGGAGCTGGATGCAGTTTGTAGTTTGAAGCTTAACACTTCGATTAGTGCTCTAAAGGGTTACCTTGCTTTTAGAACTAGATGCAAATTCCTGTCTTTTTTCAGACTTCCTAGTTTCAACGGCCATTTCTTCCAGTAGTTTATTTCTCATATATTGAAAAGGAAGCAAAAACAAAAAAAAACAAAAAAAAACCTCTAACTACAGAGGAAATCAGAAGTCTCAGACATCTTACTGGTTAAAAATAGCAATAAAACTACCACCTAATACACTGCTTTTTCTCATTCACGCCAGGGTCGGGAAGAACACACTGACAGAGTGTGCCTGGTTCTTCAGCACAGGGTTGCTCCTTGGCTGACAGGTCGTCCCTGGGCCCCTCCCCGGCCCCTCCCACGCCCGTGCCCGAGTCGCCTCCCTCGGGGTGGCTCTGGCCCGCCTGTCACTCAGTCACTGCGGCAGCCCTAAGTTCACGTGTGCTGCTTCTCCACTCAAACGCCTTCCCTCCGGCCCTACCGCATGCTGGGCGCTATGAATGTCAGTGTTAGTCGCTCAGATGTGGCCAACTCTTTGTGACCCCATGGACTGTAGCCTGCCATGCCCCTCTGTCCGTGGAATGCTCCAGGCAATACTGGACAGTGGTAAAGCGGCAGACCTGCTCTGGCCTCCCAGGGAAGCTAACAGCCTCGTCGAAGAGAGGGGCAGCCAACAGCCACTGCGTTGCATCGCGAGCGCTCCAAGATGAGGTGAAGCTAAGACACTGGCTTCACCGCCCTGAGGACCCTGGGAAGAAGCTCCTCGGGGAGGCCATGATTCAGGACTGAGATCCGAGAAAGCAAGCACCGATAACTGCAGAGGGGCCTTCCCGTAGCTCCTGATCACCTGAAAGACAAGGAGCCCGAGGTGTCCTACCTGTGGGGTGGAACTGCACGAACTCCAGGTCCTGGCAGGGCAGGCCAGCCCTGGCCACCATGGCGGTGCCGTCGCCGGTGCTGGTGTGGGCGGACGTGCAGCTGAAGTAGGTGCGCCCATAGCCGCTGGAAAACACAGGTCAGCAGGGACGCTACAGCACACGTGTCCCCTCGGGGCCGCGCCCTGGGCAGCGCCTCTGGTGCGTCTGCACCGAGCTGCCCTGGCCACAGTGACGGGAGCCTAGGGACGCCTGTGCTTTAGGGCATGTCTGCGCTGTGTGATTCTCTGAAAGAATGCTCCTTTTACAATAAAATGTAAAAATGTTTATGGATTCACTTCCTGACAGTATATAAGATGGAATTTTACTCGTTTTCTTCATGTGAATAAACAGCACTTATCTATCCCAGAAACCAGTATAAACACAGCACCCACCAAAGCAGAAGAGATGTTACTCCAGAAAGCATCACATGACCCTCCAGGCCTTGGTCTCATCGAGGGTCCTCCCAGCTGGGAACTGCTGACTCTTTCTGACCACGCCTGAGGTAGGTGCTGGTGCCGCCCCTCAGGCCCGCAGTGGTACAGGCCCAGCAGGTGACCCGCAGCCTGGGCCGCACCCACCGCCCCGCAATGCCTCCATTCCCACTAGAAACAGGAAGTTCCGAAACGCAGCTCGCCTGCAGAGAACTTGAACATGACAAAGGCAGGCTCTCACCCTGTGGCGATGACGGTGTTTCTGGCCCTGATGCGGTGGATGGACCCATCTTCTATGCACAGAGCAATCACACCACGGCACTCCCCGCCCTCCATCAGGAGGTCCAGGGCAAAGTACTCCACAAAGTAGCTGGTGTCATAGCGCAGAGACTGAAAGGGGGAGAAGACGGAAAAAAAGGGATCCTGCATTTCCTGTGGCACTGTAAACCTGAACAGTTAGAGACTGCGATCTGAGGGGAGAGGGATCAGGCAGACCCGAGGGGAACAATGGATTCAAAAAGGAGCCGTAGATTTCAACCCACGAATGCCAGCTCATTGGTACAAAGAACACAGCCCAGGAGAGGGGGCTGCATGTGGGGCTCGTCTCAGCTCCAAGCAGCCCTGATAGGCGCCAGAGGCAGCACCAAGCTCCCCCCAGCCGCCGCCAGGGCTGAGCCATGGACCACGGGGTCCAACTTGGACCAGGCTGTGCTACGTGGGGCCTGCTGCCACGTGGCCACCGAGTCCAAGTAAAACAAGACGCTCGGCGCATTTCCACCACAGCAGAGGGTTCATCTTGGACTGTGCAGCCCGGACTTGGGATCTGACAGCCCTGGAAAAGGATGGGGGACTTGTCAAGCCATCAGCCCCCTGCGTGACACACAATTCTGACTTGAAAATCAATGATCTGTGCCCCCCTGCAAAACAAGAGTTCAAGAGCAGCACTGTTCAGAATACTGACTACTGGGCCAAAGTTGGCCCTGATTATCCAGTGACCACTGTCCCTCAAGTCATAAGTCAGATTGAACAGTAAAGTATTAAATCAATTAATTTAGGAACTCAGAGGTGGGGAAAAAGTCTCAAAACGCTTGTTCTGTTCTTGTACTTTCATGACAGAGGCCAGGGTCAAACCTGGCATGTAATGACCACCACTTACGTTTCCAAAAACAGACATTTTCAAATTAACAACTAACCAAGTAACTGCTGCTTAGAAAGCGACCCCTGGGCTGACAGTGACCTGGCCTGGAGCGGCCTGCTTCCCACCCTGCACACGCCTGGCCAGGCTGCCCCTCACTGCCTGTGGGCCCGGCGCCTCACCCTTCCATACAACGTGTGCAGCAGCGAGTGGCCGGTGCGGTCAGCCACACAGCAGCAGCGGTGGGCCTGCCCGCCCTTCCCAAACTTGAGGCTCTGTCCGCCAAAGGCACGCTGGTAGATCTTCCCATCTTCAGTTCTGCTGAAGGGCATGCCGTAATTCTCCAGCTGAGCAACATAAAAGGAGACACCTAGAATCTTACAGGACCTGGACACCCACGGCTAACCAACACCAGAACTTCAACACCAATCTGCAGACCAGGATGAACACCCTTTATGAGAACGCCAGCCCCGGGGAGCAGCCCTCCCGTGTTGGCAGCTCACTGCCGCCCGGCCAGCTGGCCTCCGGCTGCTGCCGTGCCCGCAGCCAGCAAGGACGCACCTCCACCACGGAGGCGGGGGCCTGCTCCGTCATGTAGTGGATAGCATCCTGGTCTCCCAGCCAGTCAGAGCCCTTCACGGTGTCGTAGAAGTGCCACCGCCAGTTGTCCTCCTCCATGTTTCCCAGGGCGGCATTGATCCCTCCCTGAAACACAGCAGCCTGTGAACCACAGCGGGAGCCCAGCTGCACCGTCAGCCCACCTCCCCACCACCCCTGATGGAACAGATGCGGATAAAGCCAGCTCCTCGAGTGCCAGTGTCTGTGAGGGATCCCACCACCTGGCAGACTCCGAAGCAGGTCTCCCCCCCTGCAGAGACAGGGCCCGGTTTTAGAGGCCCCTAGCCTCAGGCGCCTCACCCAGGAGAAGGGCATGGGGCCCGAGCCCTCAGGGAGTTGTCTGGAGTGTCGACTGAGGTCCCCTGGGTGAGGCCTCTTTCCTACCAAGCCTGGCACATAAAGGGGACTCAGAGCTGTCTACTGTTTTATGACACTGTCCCCAGAAGTGCTTGTGTGCATGGGTTAAAGGCAGGAAGTGCCCATTGCTGAGGCTCAGAGCCACACTCCCCACCCCTGCTGGGCACTGCCCACCCCCCCCACCCCCCCCGGCCCGTCAGTCACCAAGGAGATCGCAGCACAGAGCAAACTTTAGCAGCTGGCCATCACCCCACCCCCAAACTTCAATCTGCTATCTCCTCTTCAGGTAGCGTCTTTCCCACACGACACTTTCTCTAACCGCCCTCTCCCCAACTGTTACTCAAGAGTAACTTCTTCAGGAAGACTCTCCTGAGCTCCTTCCCCAGCTGGTGCTGCTGTCCCTCAGCCTCCTGTGTGTTTTGCTACCAAACCGATGCTAGCACAGAGCAAGGAGCCTCGGCCAGACACACACCACTTAACTCATTCCTTCCTCCCTCCTCCGACTCTAAACCCAAACACATTCCTAATAAAAAAAGAAATCTTAAATACCAGGGTAGCAGAATATAGAAAGCTGGTTTAAAAATGATATGAAAATAAAACTGTCTTCCAAAGGGGTTATATAAATTTATATCTTCCCCAGCGATGTAAAAAATTTCCTGTTTCCCCACAGACTTGGCAACAGTTTTGTCAAACTTGGGAGTTTTGCTTATCTAGTAAGTAAAAAATTCTCAATAAATAAATAGTGCAAAAATACATAGCCTAGTGCACAAACAAATGTTATCCTTCCCCAACTAAACGTTCTTTTCTTGAGAACCAGCATTCAAGTCATACTACCCTTTTCTCATTCCGTTTTATTAATATTGCACTCTACCTAAAAACTGTATTATTTTTGCAATACTACTTAAAATTATCTGTTTATATCTATTCTTCCTTTTAGATGATGAATTAGCCACAGAAGTTTTTTTACTTATTCTTCAGTTTAAAAAGCACAGTTTTTGAACAAAGTATCTGGACAGCTCGGTGGCTGAAGAACGCTGCTGCTCCAGCTGTGATGGCGACAGGAGCTTCTACTGGTTCCAGAGAGTCACCACATCCTCTCCTGTGCCAACAAGGAAATGTGCCCAAATACTAGAAAAGACAGCCATGTGTGACCCTAGGATACTCCCTGCATGTCAGCCGGGCACTACCTACAGTGTGCCTAGAGTGAAAAACCACAACCATAAAGTCACCCAAGTTCCCACCTCACTCACCCCCTTCCCTAAATCCAGAGCAGTACAGGCCACTGCTCTCTGCTGCACATTCGTGTCATCATCAGAGCCCGTCCCCAGCGCTGGAGGCTGGCCCTGCGTCTCCGGCAGACACAGGGCAAGCACATAGCCCGCTCGTTCACATGGAGCGAGTGCAGGGGAGGTGGTCACACCATGATGGGGGCAGGTGCAGGGGCGTGACTGGAGTGGAAGCAGGAGGGACGCATCCCCAAGGGGTGGGTGGTGAGAGTGGGCAGAGAGCCCTGGGGACCGAGTGCCAGGAGCAGAGGGGGCACGGTGCAGGGCAGGGCTCCTTGAGCAGAACCTCGCAGGCACTGTGAGCACGGGAGCGCCTTCTCATACCTGGGCCGCGACAGTGTGGGACCTGGTGGGGAACAGCTTCGTGACACAGGCTGTGTTGAAACCTGCTTCGGAGAGGCCAAACGCGGCCCGCAGGCCTGCCCCCCCCGCACCAACCACCACGGCATCAAACTCATGGTCCACGACTGGGTACTGCGCAGAAATCTGGAAAAGAAAAGTCCCCGTTAATCACTGGTTCAACTAGGCTGGACACTGAGGCTGTGGTCACGGTGAAGGACTTCAACACACAGGAGTTGCTGCCACCGCCGGAGGGCCTCCATCGTGCTGGGCTGCACACCAGCCGTGGCGGCAATGGCAAACTCGGTGGGCATGTCCTCAAGTCAAAAGGGTGCTCCCATCATGGCAGAGCACTGATCCACGGAGCCGGGACACCCATCATCAGCTGAAAGGCTGGAAACTCACAGCATGGGACCATAGACGCAGTGGAGGGCAATGCCACAGATCAAAACACCAGTTCCAATTATGGTTTCTCTTTACAGTTATCATTTTTTACTTTTTCTTTTTACATTTATTCTGTATATACATGGTTAGACAAACCTAAGCTTATAAAGTAGCATGGACCATGCTTTGCAAGTTTCTCATGAAAAGAGTGAAATGTTGTTTCATTTAGATAAGCAGAGTCCATTCACCTGGGAGACAACCGAGAACCCAAGTATGTTCCAGGTCCATACTGTATTTATGACTGAGAAGGTGCCATAGCACTCAGTCACCACTGTGAGCCTATGAAAAGGGCCTCAAAAGCAAATTCCAGTTTCTTCAACAGAGTGAGGAAGGGCCTTGTAGACACAGAGGAGCCCACGTTCAGCTGAGAAGGCGTCTGTCACCTCGCATTCCAGTAAACATTGTTTACCTGACATCTGTATTTTGTTTACTTCACTTGAAGTTTCAATTGCTTATACATATACAAGAGTTACAAGCAAAAACATCAATATCTTTATTCCTGTCTGTACTATAATTACTAACATATCAAAAATAATTTGGGTATGAATTAAAAAGAGAATTTAAGTAAAAACCTGTGTGTTACTCAAGTACATAAAAAACTGGTATAGAACACTATTCTGCTAAGTCAAGAAAATCACTTACAACAAAGAGCCCTGAACTTACCGCATCTGAAACTTTAGCAGACGACCTCTTATTGCCATCAACGGTGAAGTGAAAACTGCGGGCTCCTGTCTGCCATGCTGCCGGCCACTTCTGAAACACAGAGGGAGGGCTAACTGTCTTCAGAGAACCAGGGACTTCTAATTTCGTTAAGTCGCAAACCTTCTCATGGACCCAGGTGCACGCTCTCACCCAGAAACCTTTCCTGGAACCCTCCACTTAGCTCTGAAGGTTAAGGTAGGGGCTATGGACCCAGGCCCGGCTTGAGGAAGTGGTAACCAGCAAAGGCCCTTCCACATGAAGCTTGTTTCCAGACAGGAGATTCAATGACCCAGAAAATGTAAACGGCACACTTTCAAATTTCCTGACTTACAGTACTTAGAGAAGAATGGGAAGGACACCTGTGCTGCCTAAGTGGCAGCTCTGCAAACAACCGAGTGCTTTTCCCGGGTCCATCCCAGCCCTCTTCACACTGGCCCCCCACCCTGTACACGGGGCCTGCGGGTCACTGGACGAGGCACTGACAGTGAGGAGGGGGCAGTGAGGCTGCAGAGCAGGCTGCCCCAGGCCCGGGGCTGACCCTTCATGGACACGCGCATCCAGGCCCTGGGACGCTCCTGGTCCTGCGTCACCCTCTCCACACCTGCAGCGGCTCAGCCATGTCCCTGCCTGTCACACTTCACCTCCATCCCCCTGCCTGGACACCTGTCCCTGGCCTGTCCCTGGCCAACCTGTACAACTGCAAGCCTCAGCGAAAACGTCCCTTCCTACAACCATTTACCCAAGAAAAGGGTGGCAATGAAATCACAACCCAGCAAGAGAGGCAACATTCTTCATGGACTAAGAAAGGTCTGCAATTTAGGGAACAAGTCTTGTCGTTCTGCTTACCACATTTTAGCAGACTCTGGTAAAAGAGACTTGGAATATTCTGAACAACAGTTTTGGGAACTAAATACATTCAGCAGTGACAAAAGCGATGTCTTAAATTATTCTTCAATTGGAAGAGATGTTTCAATTTTGTGGAGAAAAGAAACTATGCTTTGGGACAAACACATGTGGATTATAGGGAGAATTTCCAAATACAAAATGAACTGCAAATATGTTGTTTGAAACCAGACAAACTTCTTTAAGATGAGGAACTCTGGCAGGGGTTGGATAACCTGGCTGACCACCAGCGAGGAACGTCAGAGGCAGAAGGTTCCCTCTAACTCAGAAACTGAGTGGTGGTAGATGCAAACATCTGAGTTTATTTTAATAGCTCTACTTAAAAAGTGTAGTTTCTTGCAGTTTTAAGTAGATTTGAACTGTTTTAAGTAGATTCTTGAATTTTTCATTGGTAATGTTAAGTGTGTTTTTTTTTCCAGTACATTTGCCTTTATTGACAAAACTTAAGTTTTTTCCTTCAGATGTGAATTTAAAAGAATACTCTCCAGCTTTATTACACTTTCTTAAATGGCAAATTCATATTTTAACATAAACCAAGTCCCTGAAGGAATTTTAATACAAATGTTCTTGAAAATATCATAAAGTACTGCGACTGAACTGAACAATAAAAATATAGCGAATAGTACCAATAAGAATAGCATACTCTGTGATACCAAGTTAAAATTAAAATAGAAACTGTGAGATTCCCTAAGTATTTATTTCTTCTTTCTGGGATGTTCACATTGAATGAAGACAGACAAACACACACACCCACGTGGTTAGCTTAAAAAGCAGTAACTACTGTAATGAAATCTGTAACAAATTATCACATTATCACCCCGTGGAAAACAGTAACACTATTTTTTGTACCTAAATCAGATTTGGGGAGTGATTTTAGAATTTGGAGAGTCCAATTTAATTTTAATCCAATTTCTGTCTTTAGATAAAACTCATTTTATGCCACTTATTAATCGCATGTTTTTTGAAGACAAAAATATCAAAATATTGGAACAGAGCAACATGAAAAAGAAAGCAGAAATCTACCTAAGATATTAACAGAGTTAGCATAACAGTACAGGTCACTGAATCAGGAGAATAAAGAGAGCAACAAGTGAGAAGAGCAGAGATACTTATCTCCCCAACTGAGCAAAGTGGAGAGTCCTCATCTAGCACAGCACCCTATGAATCAGGACCAAGAAGCTACTCTGTAAGAACAGGTACAAGCTACACAATTACAGAACTACACAGTAAAGGTTCTGAAAGTGGATGCATAATCAATGGGAAAACTGAGGATGTGGGTAGTAGGGCAAGTGAACTAAACCCTTCAGTTCAGTTCAGTTGCTCAGTTGTGTCTGACTCTTTGCGATCCCATGGACTGCAGCACGCCAGGCCTCCCTGTCCATCACCAACTCCCAGAGTTACTCAAACTGATGTCCATTGAGTCGGTGATGCCATCCAATCATCTCATCCTCTATCGTCCCCTTCTCCTACCTTCAATCTTTACCAGCATCAGGGTCTTTTCAAATGAGTCAGCTCTTCGCACCAGGTGGCCAAAGTACTGGAGTTTCAGCTTCAGCATCATTCCTTCCAATGAATATTCAGGACCGATTTCCTTTAGGATGGACTGGTTGGATCTCCTTGCAGTCCAAGGGACTCTCAGGAGTTTCCTCCAACACCACAGTTCAAAAGCATCAATTTTTGGAGGTCAGCTTTCTTTATAGTCCAACTCTCACATTCATACATGACTACTGGAAAAACCATAGCTTTGACCTTTGTTGGCAAAGTAATGCCTCTGCTTTTTAATAAGCTGTCTAGGTTGATCATAACTTTTCTTCCAAGGAGCAGGCGTCTTTTAATTTCATGGCTGCAGTCACTGTCTGCAGTGATTTTGGAGCTCAGAAAAATAAAGTCTGTCACTGTTTCCATTGCTTCCTCATCTATTTGCCATGAAGTGATGGGACCAGATGCCATGATCTTAGTTTTCTGATTGTTGAGCTTTCAGCCAGCTTTTTTCACTCTCTTCTTTCACTTTCATCAAGAGGCTCTTTAGCTCTTCTTCACTTTCTGCCATCAGGGTGGTGTCACCTGCATATCTGAGGTTATTGATATTTCTCCTGGCAATCTTGATTTCAGCTTGTGCTTCATCCAGTCCAGCTTTTCTTATGATGTACTCTGCATGTAAGTTAAATAAGCAGGGTGACAATATACAGCCTTGACGTACTCCTTTCCTGATTTGGAACCAATCTGTTGTTCCATGTCCAGTTCTAACTGTTGCTTCTTGACCTGCATACAGACTTCTAAGGAGACAGGTCAGGTGGTCTGGTATTCCCATCTCTTTCAGAATTTTCCACAGTATTTTGTGATCTACACAGTCAAAGGCTTTGATGTCAATAAAGCAAATATTTCTCTGAATTCTCTTGTTTTGATGATCCAGCGGATGTTGACAATTTGATCTCTGGTTCCTCTCCCTTTTCTAAACCCAGCTTGAACATCTGGAAGTTCACGGTTCATGTACTGTTGAAGCCTGGCTTGGAGAATTTTGAGCATTACTTTGCTAGCGTTGTGAGATGAGTGCAATTGTGTGGTAGTTTGAGCATTCTTTGACATTGCCTTTCTTTGGGAATGGAATGAAAACTGACCTTTTCCAGTCCTGTGGCCACTGCTGAGTTTTCCAAATTTGTTGGCATACTGAGTGCAGCACTTTCACAACATCAGCTTCTAGGATCTGAAATAGCTCAAGTGAAATTCCATCACCTCCATTAGCTTTGTTTGTAGTGATGCTACCTAAGGCCCATCGCACTTCACATTCCAGGATGTCTGGCTCTCGGTAAGTGATCACACCATCGTGATTATCTGGGTTATGAAGATCATTTTGCATAGTTCTTCTGTGTATTTTTGTCATCTCTTAATATTTTCTGCTTCTGTTAGGTCCATACCACTTCTGCCCTTTACTGTGCCCATCTTTGCATGAATATTCCCTTGGTATCTCTAATCTTCCCCATTTTATTGTTTTCCTCTATTTCTTTGCATTGATCACCGAGGAAGACTTTCTTATCTCTCCTCGCTATTCTCTGGAACTCTGTATTCAAATGGGTATATCTTTCCTTTTCTCCTTTGCCTTTCACTTCATTGTGGGATTCTTGCCGACAGCAGTAGATATAATGGTCATCTGAGTTAAATTCACCCATTTCAGTCCATTTTAGTTTGCTGATTTCTAAAATGTTGATGTTCACTCTTGCCATCTGCTGTTTGACCACTTCCAATTTGCTTTGATTCATGGACCTAACATTCCAGGTTCCTATGCAATATTGCTCTTTACAACGTTGGACTTTACTGCCATCACCAGTCACATCCATAACTGGTTGTTGTTGTTGCTTTGGCTCCGTTTCTTCATTCTTTTCTGGAGTTATTTCTCCACTGATCTCTGGTAGCATATTGGGCACCTACTGACCTGGGGAGTTCATCTTTCAGTGTCCTATCTTTTTGCCTTTTCATACTGTTTGTGGGGTTCTCAAGGCAAGAATACGTAAGTGGTTTAACATTCCCTTCTCCAGTGGACCACGTTTTGTCAGAACTCTCCACCATGACCCGTCTGTCCATCTTGGGTGGCCCTACACAGCATGGCTCACAGTTTCATTGAGTTAGACAAGGCTGTGGTCCATGTGATCAGTTTGGTTATTTTCTGTGATTGTGGTTTTCAATCTGTTTGCCCTCTGATAAAGAAGGATAAGAGGCTTATGGAAACTTTCTGATGGGAGAGACTGACTGAGGGCGAAACTGGGTCTTGTTCTGATGGGTGGGGCCATGCTCAGTAAATCTTTAATTCAATTTTCTGTTGATGGGTGGGGCTGTGTTCCCTCCTTGTTATTTACCTGGGGCCAAACTATGGTGGAGGCAATGAAAATAATGGTGACCTCCTGCTACCCTCAGTGCCCCTGAGGGTAGTACCTCCAACCCTGCAGCAGGCCACAGCCAACCCACACCTCTGCCGGAAACTTCTGGACACTTGCATGAAAGTCTGGGCCAGTCTCTTGGGGCGGGGGGGGGGGGGGGGGGGGTGTCACTGCTCCTTTCTCCTGGATCCTAGTGCACACAAGGTTCTGTTTGTGCCCTCGAAGAGTCTGTTTCCCCAGTCCTGTGTAAGTTTTGGTGGCCCTAGGGGGGTTAATGGCGACTTCCTCCAAGAGGGCTTATGCTATACCCAGGTCTGCTGCACCCAAAGCCCCTGCCCCTGCGGCAGTCCACGGCTGACCCATACCTCTGCAGGAGAACTAAACCCTTATTTACCAGCAAAAATCAATGTCTAAAATGGACAAAATGCACCTGCATATTAGCTAGAGAAATGGAGGTAAATAGCAGGCATCAATACCAAAATCAGTTCAGAACTGATTCCACTAGAGAACAGGTCTGGGAAGGAGGTGGTCTTCTTTCTTTTCACTTACAAGAACTTCTGTACTCACTGACTTTTTTTTTGCTACTATGTGCAATTACTTTCACTTAAAATTTAAAGGTTTTTAAAGTAAGGATGTTTAAAACATCATTCACATGATAACTGAGGATAGGCTGTGAGCTGCAGGTCCTGGCACAGAGGAACACCACACAAGTTTCACATGTTCCCTCACAGAACCCTCATTAATGCCACAGAGCAGTGGAGTCTTTCCAAGGTATTGGATCTGCCTGGCTGGCTCCAGATCCTATACTTTCCCTATGATCCAGGGATCCTTGGGAAAAAATTTCCGGGCTTCCAAACTAAGATGAATATCCAGGTACATACCAAAACCAGCCACAATTTTTCAAATGAACCAGGAAAAACAGGACATGGAATGTAGAACTGAAAGCCAGTGCCACTGTAATTATCCCAAGAAACAAAACAAAATGTTACTAGTTACTACAGTGGCCTAAATAATGTAAATCTAGATACGCCACTAACACATATTCAGAATGATACATTAGAATAAATTGATTTATTCTTGAATAGCTTGTTGAAAATGGAAAAATATCACCTGAAGTTAAGCAACAACTATGTAAGGTTAATGGTTTTACTCTTCCTTTTGATTTAACTACTTTCAAATAGTGTGCAAATTTGTGTCAGTACATTGGGACAATTAAAAAGGAAACAAAGGCAAAACAGGTTTAATAATTTTGTAACTCGAAAGTAGCTGTAAATATGACTTGAAAACACCACAGAACTGGATAAAGATAAATCTTATGTGGACTTTATTTAAATTATCCTTATTGAGTACAGTCCTTGAACATTTCTCAGTGGGAGATTATGAATTCCTTTCTCTTTTTGTTCTGCTAATTTGCTGTTTCCGTTCTTGCCAACCTTAAATTCCATTAAGCAGCTTGCAGACAGATTAATTTACATAGGTGGAAATAATTTTTAAAGCTACTTTCATCAAGATAAAAGACTTTAAAACTCAAGACCATCTTTGGTAGATCTAACCAAATTTTGCTAACTCTCTCTCGCCATTTTGTTCACAAGCACCCGAACACAAGCACCTGGTGAAGAATCATGGAGACAGTGAAGCACAGTGCTGGCAGTTAACAGCAGATTGCACTAAGATCACTTCCAATCAAGCCAACAGGAAAGGAGAGGTTCAGGCTCCAATCTGTTGTTTGTGAGACTTCCACTTTCAGCTAAAACCTCAGAGCTGAATTCCTGAATATCCCAGCCTGGATAAAGGACAGCAACACGTACATAAACTGTCAAAGGGCAAGTGATGGGTGAAGGTCAAGCGCAGCCTGGAGTAAGGATCGTCTGGCTCCAGTCCAGGTTGACAGACCTGTCCGCTCTTCCCCAATGACCACCAGACCAAACTGCCATCTCACCTAACAAGAAGGGCCCACTCAGAAGTCTGCTTATGCTTGGTTGACTAAAACTACCCCCATTGACCATGGACTTCATCACCTGCTTCTGGACCCCCTGCTACCCTTGTGTCTTAGAGCCCAAGATTTGGGGGGCTGGGGGAAACCTTTGCTCAGTAAGCATCAACAACATGGGACAACATTTATAAAACACTTTCTGGGGTTGGCAGAATGTCCGACTCAACTTCCTCACATTTAGCATAACCTCTAATACCAGGATTTTGAAAAGAAAAAAATTGTGGGTATAATTACAGGCACAAATCAAGTCTACATTGTTGAAAGGCTTGCTTCTCACTGCGATCTTTACTTTGTAATTAAAGCACTAACTAGGTGGCTGGGCAAGTTCACATAACGGGACCAAGTAACTAAACCCTCTAAATTCAGTGCTTCAGTAAAATTCCAGAGGATCAACTCGGAAGACTTAACTGTCAGGAGTGGAAGGGACACGGTCCAGAAGCCAGGCCTCGGGAAAGCACAACCCAGACCGACCGAGTAGGGCTCACGGGGCTCCGCAGGAAACGCTCAGGAGGACACCGGCCCCGCGACCGCCCCGGCCGCTCTGCGGTCAGTGCCCAGGGGCTGCGCAAAGCCCCAGAAGCAAGGCCGGGTGCAAGTCGAGTGCCGGGGCGCTGCTCAGACCGCACCTCACGGGCCCACGGCCGTCCGGCCGCGTCCCGCCGCGTGACCTTGAGCAGCCAAATCTTCGAGCGCGCGCCCGCGGCTGGGCAAGAAGCCTCGCAGCCGCGCCGGGCTCCCGGACAGGCCGCGGGCTGCCACGGGGCAGTGACCTTCACCGCGCCGCCGCCCGGCCGGCTCCGGAACGTGTGGCGGGCCCTCCCCCGCGTTTCGCCGCGAAGCAGGGGACCCGGGACCCAGTGTCTGCCGCGTCCCGCCCGCGGCGAACACTCACCGTGCAGGTCAGCGCTAGGCGCCGGGCGCGCAACAGGCGCGACACAGCGGCAACCCCCGACATGTCTGCCTTCCAGAGCAGTCGGCCGGTCCCCCGCAGACCGCGCCTGCGCACGTCACCGCGCCCGGGGTCTTACGTCGCTGCAACCGGGTGTTACGTCGCCGCGCCCGGGGGGGGTCTTACGTCGCCGCGCCCGGGGGGGTCTTACGTCGCCGCGCTCGGGGTCTTACGTCGCCGCGCCTAGGGGTCTTACGTCGCCGCGCTCGGGGTCTTACGTCGCCGCGCCCGGGGCCTTACGTCGCCGCGCTCGGGGTCTTACGTCGCCGCGCCCGGGGCCTTCCGTCGCCGCGCCCGGTCGGGGGGAGACTGGGCAGCGCCGCGCCTGCGCAGAATTGCTGGCGGGCGGGGGCGCTCAGGGCACCTGGTCGGCGAGTTCCCGGCCGGAGGTAAGTTTTCGTTTTGGAGTCTTTTCGGGCTCCCCCGATTTTTCCTTATATCTAAACAATGTTCGGTTTTTCTGGAGATTACGGCAGTTTTGTGAGGCGGTACCGGGGTGCCCGTCCCGCTTTCTCTCGGGGACGGAGCGGGAGTTCCGGTATCGAGCAGTTTGATGGCGGGCCGCCAGCTTTGACCGACGTTCCGGGGTCACCTGCAGGGCGCCCGGCCGGTTCGGAATCCTCTGCGTGTCCCGTGGCGGCGGGCGCGCGGGCACACTCTGGAGCGCGCTGTCCGAAGGGGAGCTCAGGCCCTGAAGTTTGTGGGGTCGGGGGCAGAGTGCCGCTCCCAGCCCTACGCTTTGAGGGTCGTGAGCTTCCGTACTTCAGATCTCTGACATTTTTTATTGTGCTGGCCACAAGCTCCTTCACATTAACTACTGAGCTTTTGTGTGTGTGTCATTTCTTTATTGCCAATTAGGATTTTATACCTTTAGGTGTTAAGCAAGTATTTATTGGAAATCGTATGAAGAGTGTTTGATGCTGAATTGAGGTTTTTGTTTTTGTTTTTGGCCTGTATTCACCTCCTTCTATTTGTATTTCAGTTTTTTGAGACACATCACGCTCCCCTACGATTTTCGAGTTGTTTTTGTCTGAGGTCTTATTTTTTTTCTTTTAATCTCATAAGGCTCCCTGCTGTGCAGCAACATACCTAGATCTGAACAAAGTTCTTTAAGAGAGGAAAAAAAAAAAAGGACTCACATGGACCACATGCTGTGTTTAGTCGCTCAGTCGTGTTGGATTTTTTGTGACCCCATGGAAACTGTAGCTCACCAGGCTCATCTCTCCATGGGGATTCTCCAGGCAAGAAGACTGGAGTGGGTTGTAATGCCTTCCTCCAGGGGATCTTCCAACCCAGGGATGGAACCCAGGTCTCCCGCATTGCAGGCGGATTCTTTACCGACTGAGCCACCAGGGAACCCCAAGGATACTCGAGTGGGTGCCCTGCCCCTCCCCTAAGGGGTCTTCAGGACCCAGGAAGCAAACCAGGTCCCCTGTAGATGATACATTGTGAGCAGTGTATTTTGTTCCATTGTGTGGTTAACGATATTGTTATTTACTTCAAGGTGTATCTCCATGAATAACTTAAATGACCCCCCAAATTGGAATATCCGGCCCAATTCCAGGGCTGATGGAGGTGATGGAAGCAGATGGAATTATGCCCTGTTGGTTCCGATGCTGGGACTAGCTGCTTTTCGTAAGTCGTGATTCTCCTAACTTGTTTTCTGGGCTGAGAGTGTGGAGCCCAGAGATTTTGGGCTTTGAAACCTAACAAGTGTTGACTGGGGAAAAAATGCACAGTGTGCGAGCTGTGAAGACTATAGCCCAGGATGTGTGCGTGTGTGCACTCAGTTTGTGACACCATGGTTTGTAGCCTGCCAGGCTCCTCTGTCCATGGGATTTTCCAGGTGAGAATATTGGAGTGGGTTGTCACTTCCTTATCCAGGGTATCTTCCCAACCCAGGGATCGAACCCGTGTCTCCTGCATTGGCAGATGGATTCTTTAGCACTGAGCCACCTGGGAAGCCCTATAGCCCAGAAGGGAGCCTTTCAGATAACCTGTTAGGACCTGTTTTGCAGAGGTAGAGGAGGAGCCAGGGAATACATGTGGTCAGGCTACATCTTGGTGAAAGATTACTCCTTGTCATAAAAGAAAAGCCAGGTATCTCAAGTTAATGATTTTAATACGGGAAGGTGCAAGAATCTGGGGTCATTAAAATTCTTCCATAAATATGTATCTTAACTATTTAGGGTCTCATGTATCCAAGACAGAGTGCATTCACCCTGAATGCCTTTCAGGGTGAACGTGTAGGTCACTGACTACAGTGGCTAATGACTTAATCATAAATGGCAGGCACCAGTCTTTGTTTACACAGATGGGTACTGTGTGTCCCGGTCAAATGGGTTAACCCTCTGAGCCTCAGTTTTTCTGACATCATAATTATCTCAGTGCAATGCGAGGGTTAAATAAGACAAGATAAAGGTGTTTTATGTGGAGTGATTTAGTAACTGTTAGTTCTTTTCAAAGCTTCGTTGCTCTGAAGGGGGCTCCCTTGCTTCAGTTGCCCTCATAAGCGCTAATGAGGAAAAATAAAGTAGGCATGAAAGAAAACCAGTTTTGGATGTCTGTGTAATGTTTAGGATATCTGTCTTTGGAAGACTTCATCCCTGAAACCTCTGTTCAGGCTGACTAGAAATTCTCTCTACGTTGAATCAACTTTGTACCTCTTGAGGGAAATTAGCAGTCACTGGTCAGCTGTAATTTTTCCAGCTCTTAGTTTTTATCCTGACTATTGGGGTGGCCAAAAAGTTTGTTTTGAGTTTGAAATTTGAACGAACTTTTTGGCCAATTCAATCCCTGATGAATTTCTTGATGGTTAGGAGTTGGTTTTATGTTTTGTCATTGTTGATTGAGGAAGACACTTTACCCTTTTAGGTTTTTCTGGCTGGTCTAAGGATTGAATTGATAAGAGGTAGATTAACAGGAGAAAATAAAACCAAAGTTGCTAACGTCTGCCCACTGGAGAGAGCTGGGGCTCCCTAGGTGGCTTACTGGTAAAGACTCTGCTGTCTGCCTGTGCACAGATGAGAGAGATGTGGGCTCAGTACCTGGGTGGGGAAGGCCCCCTGGAGGAGGGCGTGGCAACCCACTCCAGTGTTCTTGCCTGGGAAATTCCATGGACAGAGGAGCCTGGAGGGATACGGTTCATGGAGTGGCAAAGAGTTGGACACAACGGAGCACACATACAATAACAGCAACATAGGAGAGAGCCAGGAAAACTGAGTAACTCACCAAAATGGCATAAGCTCTCACCTTAAATACCATCCTCAGCTAAAGACAAAAGAGGATGTTGGGGGTGGGGAGAGTTAGTTACCAGAGAAGAACAGGAAAAGCACAGTAATTGAGGGTAAGGTTCTTGTGCAGATTTAGGTTGTAGCCTTTCCATTTGATAACTTTCAAGCAATTTGGTTAACCTATTCCTGGTACAACCAGGGAGACACCCTTACAACTAGAGACTTCCCTTATAAATTTAAGTGTTTCTTGTGTTGTTGTTTAGTCTGTTAAGTTGTTTCTAACTCTTTGCAGCCCCGTGGATGGTAGCCTACCCTCTGTCCATGAGATTTCCCAGGTAAAAATACTACAGTAGTTTGCCATTTCCTTCTCCAGGGGATCTTCCTGGTCCAAGGATCAAACCTGCGTCTCCTGCATTGGCAGGTGAATTCTTTACTGCTGAGCCACTAGGGAAGCCCCAAGTGTTTCTTATGAACGGGTAGCTCCTACTTGGTTTTCAAAGTTTCTTCCATGTCTGCTGTTTCTTAGGAAATAACCAGTTGATATAATCCTTATGCCAAAGAGACCTTTTTTTTTTTTTTTTTAATTAGTAGGAAGTGGATTTATTTAGAGAAAGGCACACTCCACAGAATATGGTCCATCTCAGAAGGCAGAGACCTTGAAATGTGGGGTGGTTAGCTTTTATGGGCTGGGTAATTTCATAGGCTAATGAGTGGGAAGATTATTCTAATCATTTGGGTACGGGAGCAGGGATTTCCAGGAATGGGCCACAGCCTACTTTTTGACCTTTCATGGTTGGCTTTAGAACTGTTCTAGAGCTGGTCATTGTGTAATTTAGCATGCTGATGTCTTACAGTGAGCGTATAATGAGGCTTAAGGTCCACTGGCAGTGGATCCTGCCATCTTGGACCTAGTTGATTCTAACCAGTGGCAGGGAGATCAAACCAGTCAACCCTCAAAGAAATCAACCCTGAATATTCATTGGAGGGATTGGTGCTGAAGCTGAAGCTCCAGTACTTTGGCCACCTGATGGGAAGAGCCAGCTCATTGGAAAAGACTCTGGTGCTGGGAAAGACTGAAGGCAAAAGGAGAAGGGGACGTCACAGGATAAGATGGTTAGATAGCATCACCAACTCAGTGGACATGATTTTGAGCAAACTTTAGGAGATAGTGGAGGACAGGAACCTGGCATGCTACAGTCCATGGGGTCGCAAAGAGTCGGACATCACTTGGTGACTGAACAACGTGTGCATGCTAAGTTGCTTCATTCGTGTTCTACTCTTCCCAGTCTTATGGACTATAACCCACCAGGCTCCTCTGTTCATGGGATTTTCCAGGCAAGAATACTGGAGTGGGTTGCCGTGCCCTCCTCCAGGGGATCTTCCTGACCCAGGGATCGAACCCATGTCACCTTCATTGGCAGGCAGGTTCATTATCACTGGCACCAATGGCTATGTCATTCTTTTAAAAGTTGTGCCCTGCTGTCTTCCCTCCTGTTTTATTCTCCCTTCAGATTTTAGTCCCATGTTCTTATGGAAAGCAGAGGGGTGATGCTCCAATTTCTGTGGCTTCAAGGCTGAGGAGGGATATTGACGTTATCTGTCAGGGAGTAAAGATCTCTGGATGCCTGGTCTAGGGCCCCAGGGGCAGGATGGCTCCTTGTTTGCAGTTGGTTTGGGCTGGAATCCTCACATAGCTGTCAGCTTGATGTGGAGCTGTTGTACAGCTTCCACAACCTTCCTGAGACTCTTCTTGATGATGAAGCACTTTTTATTATATCAGACTACAAAAATAACTATCTGTAAATGACAAAAGACTTGTTGACTAATAAAAAGATGCACAAGGTGAGAGTTGAGAGTTAAGTTTTGTTTGGGGCAAAATGAGGACTGCAGCCTGGGAGGCAGCACCTCAGATAACTCAGAGAAAGCTCCACAGAGGAAGTGGAGGAAGGTCGATATATAAGACTTTGGTGAAGGGGAAGTTGAATGCAGTCAAGCACTCATTTTACAAAAGGTTTTCTGCTAGTCACAGGAGCTTATATCACCATGAATGGATTTAGTGCCTTTTTAGATATGTTGTTCAGTTGCTAAGTTGTGTCTGACTCTTTGTGATCCCATGAACTGTAATGTGCCAGGCTTCCCTGTCCTTCACCATCTTCTGGAGCTTGCTCAAACTTAAGTCCATTGAGTCGGTGATGCCATCCAACCATCTCATCTTCTGTAGCCCCTTTCTCCTCCTGCCTTCAGTCTTTCCCAGCATCAGGGTCTTTTCCAATGAGCTGGCTCTTCACATCAGGTGGCCAAAGTATTGGAGCTTCAGCATCAGTCCTTCCAAAGAATATTCAGGGTTGATTTCCTTTAGGATGGACTGGTTTGATCTCCCTGCAGTCCAGGGGACTCTCAGGAGTCTTCTCGAACACCACAGTTCAAAAGCATCCATTCTTCAGTCCTCAGCCTTCTTTATTGTCCAACTCCCACATCCCTAAGTGACCACATGAAAAACCATAGCTTTGACTGTATGAACGTTTTGTTGACCAAATGACATCTCTGCTTTTTAATATGCTACCTAGGTTTGTCATAGCTTTCCTTCCAAGGAGCGGGTGTCTTTTAATTTCATGGCTGCAGTCCCCGTCCACAGTGATTTTGGAGCCCAAGAAAAAAAATTTGTCACTGTGTCCCCTTTTTCCCCATCTATTTGCTGTGAAGTGATGGGACCAGATGCCGTGATCTTATTTTTTTGAACGTTGAGTTTTAAGCTAGCTTTTTCACTTTCCTCTTTCACCCACATCAAGAGGCTCTTTAGTTCCTCTTCACTTTCTGCCACTAGAAAACTCATACTGTCATTAAAAGCAGCATTTCAAGAAAACTTCGAAGAAGCCAAATCCAGTCTTGCCCCAGCCTACTCCTAACAAGAGCCATTTACCCAATCCCAGTCTTAGAAAATCTTGATCATGTAGAACTTTCTTTTCCAGTATTTTCTTCTCATTCTTTACACCTTCTTTTACTGAAAACATATATTCTACTTTCCTTTTAAGTTTTTTTTTTTCTTTTTCCACTTCAGGTTATTTTTATTGATGACAGATTTGCAACGTATAATAAGATCTTATTTGACCTTTAATAAACCTAGGTATAACAGAAATGCAGTACTTGACAGTGATGATTCTAAATACATGTCTGTATTAGTCAAACCTACGAACAAGTCACCTTCAATACCAGATATTAATTTAATGTTGAATATTTCCTAGATCACATGAACCCAAAATTCTTTTGGGCCAGTTTTATACTCCTGAGTACTTATACAAGCACTTGTGCTTAATCACTCAGTTGTGTCTGACTCTTTGTAACCCCATGAACTGTAACCTGCCAAGCTTCTCTTTCCGTGGAATTCACCAGGCAAGAATACTG